TTTTCGTTTAATTTACATGCAGCGTCTGAATGAACTGATTCACATTCAAGCGATGCTGAAATGTACTAGAAAAGTTCAATAAATTTGAAAGTGCTGAAATTACTCATAATATAACTAATAAAGCACCCGATCAAATAAATATATATATATCCGAGTTGAACAACAACAAGATTTATCTACAAAAAAAAGTCAAATGCATGATTCAAATGAGTCTGTGAATCGTTTTGTGAATCTACATACACCAACCGAATTCACTGAGCGATGTAGAAACTTGCTAGAAAAGTTAAAGTGCCATTATGCCATTTTTAAAGTTGCTAATATTTTTTTATGAGTCTCCTAAAACAGGTTTACATGTATGCAAGGTCAAAAAACACGTTAGTTTTCTTAAAAAATAGATTAAATTTTACCTCATTTCTAAATGATTCGTAAACGACTCGTGCGAAGCAGTTTAAAGAATCAGTCTCTCTAAACCCCTCCTTTCGGTGAGCCCTCACTGCTGTGATTGGTCAGATGGCGCAGTCCTTTGTGATTGGTCCAGAGCCGTAGAGAGATTGGCTCTGGATTGGTCTACCGCATATAGCGCGTGTCGCAAACGAAACGCCCATTGCCATGACGGAATAACAGCCCTGGAGACTTGTCAATACAGTACATAGAAAAGATGGTATCGATTGTACCTTACCAATTCGAGCCGGAGTCTGATGATGAAACGGTTGAACTGGCTGATCGACAAGAGACTGATTCGCAAGCACGACTGGAGCAGGACAAGTGTCAAGTGTCAAGTGTTAACAAGTTTGTGGTAATTATAAGATGCGATAAAACAAATTTACTCTTAGGATACAGCGTTGTTACTTCGTGACGTAGAGCCGTAACAGAATAAGATTCGAATTCCCGACGACTCGTTTAGGCAATTGCGAGCCGACTCTTTTTTTTTTAAAGACAATAACTTTATCATGCACTGTCGGCTTCACAACTTTGCAGATAGTTTATGTTCACATACAGCTACATGACAGTGCATGAAAGGTAATATTCGAAAAGGATAATAGGGGCACTTTAAGATGGATCTGAATCATGGGTTGCAGCATATTAAAACTCACACTATCCATATCCCAGTAATAGAGAAGGCAGCCAGGCTGACAGGCAGTATGATCCAGGCAGTCATTGGTCTGACAGTGAGGCCAGTCTGTCCCAAGCATGAGGGGGAGGAACACAGAGGGCTGGCAGGGTGAGACACAGGGGGGATGACAAGGGGGCACTGACATGCAAGGACACACAGGGAGGGGACATGAGAGGAGGAGAGGGATGCCACGCTGCTCCTTCCTTCTGGCCGCCAAATCCAGGCCTAATCAGTGTTTTCAGAAAACAAAGGAGGTGAACAGTGGAGAGAGAATTAGACAAACCATTTTAGAAATGATTCAATTGAAATAACCACTTTAACTTTAAAGTCTACTTTAAAGTCATGGAACATAATTTGCAATCCGTTTTACTTCCATAACGTGACATTTTGCGGAGCGAGACAGAATGTTCAAGAAGACAAAAATGTGAGTGGAAAGAAAAGGTCAAAAGATGAGGGATTGGTGACATTGGCCATAAAAAGGCGCTTTCAGGGTGGAGCAAGGTATTACAATTTGATGAATTATTACTAAATTACTTTTTAATGGAATAATGTGCACTGATAAATCATTCAAAAAATTAAGATCATGAACGTGCATTAAAGTCACAAAGAGACAGAAGTAGCGACAGATCTTTTCTTTCATGTTGTGACGAACATCCAAAGCGCAACGGGTTATCGAAAAGTCAAAAATGAAGGGTGGGGTCTTGGTTCTATCTAGTTGTTGATTGGATGAAGAGCTTGTAGTCACTTGTAAGAAAAGCATTAAGAGGACTACAAGACTGAAGTAGTCCAGTATACGTCATCCAGTTATTTTCTGGTTTAAAATTATTAATTCAAAATAATAAATAAATAAAAAAGAAACAAATGCATAAGCTCAGAAAATAGATTATTTTTTTAACTTTAAGAAAAGAAACTATTTTGACGTCAACTAGAGCAGCCAAACAAATGTTCATGCACGAGTATTAGTTGTCAGTCTCAGTGTTTTTAGTGTTTGATTCCACTTGCAATTTGCCCTTTTGACCCATTGATTAAATATCTAAAAGCACTTCTAGTCCAAAGTCAATCCTGCAGTTTGAGTGTGTGTGCTGCAGTGAACTTTGTTGTAAAAATATAAGCTTTTCTGGAATTCTGAAACACATGACTGCCACATGATGCTGTTTGAAAACCTGGAAAGCAATACTAAAGAGTGGTTGACCACTAATGAGCTGTGGTACAATGACTACAATGCTGTCTAGACAGGCAGCCCACTAGGTTTTCAAGCATATACGTAATCAGAAAATCTAAACCTTATTTTAATATACAGTACACTAAATGCATCAGCACATAAAAGGCTGCCACTGATGTTGACATCGAGTCGTCGACTAAGTTAGTCAGGCAGGTGAATGTGCTGCTGTGTTCGTGTCACTCATTTGCATTAGTTCAAACTAAAGTGCCATACAGGTGGCCTTCGTTGATCTCACTGTATCTTTTGTATAACCAAATAGAGTTTGCAAATCTTCTGGTTCGTTTCTAAATGTACTGGCTGATTGTTTCAATTCTCAGGTAGCAGCAGTTCCTTGTTCACTAGCAATAAAGCTAACGTTGGTTGTGTTTCGAAACCTTGTGCGCCGCCTTCCTAGACAGCATTTCGGAAAACAGTCAAACGCAGCTGAGATGTCCCAAAATGCTGTCTAGGTAGGCAGCTCACTCGGTTCTGTGGCAGCCATAGAGTCCACCAAAATCTTTAAATGACTGCTGCCGCGCGAATTCCTTATTGCTTGTGAGTTCTAACGATGACACTAAGTTCTGCCCGAAATAACTGTGAAGATTTTATGTTTAACAAGCAAACAAGACGTTAATATTTACATACCTTAAGCCCTGCTACTCCCTGCTTCCAACCTCACTCAACCTTGGTTGTTGCTTTAAGATAAGGCACTGTCACTAAAGCGGCTCCTCGCGCCTCACTGTAATTGTAGTTCTTCGTGTATTTAAAAAGAATGCGTTGCAAGATGTCGCAATATTCGCTGGACTACTTCACCCACAATGCCAATGTACGGCGGCCGAGGGGTTCGAAAGAAATCGTCAAGATTGGTAATACAGCGACGTTCAAAGGTAAACAGCGTAACTGCAAGAAAAGAATGACTTGAGAGATGTCATGTATCCTTATGTATCTAATATTTACTGGCCAGAACAATGATTTTCCTTGTTATAACCATAGTACAAAAAGGGTATAAAAGCAATAACATGCCTGTCCATTTTGGCTGTCATGTTGCTGTGACAAGAAGTTTTGTCATAGCTAGTAACATTTTATGATTAAAAAAATAATTATTTTGAGATTAAGCTTGCATTGTTGTGTTTTATGTTTATAATAAGGTAATTTATTAAAGCATATTTACTGTTTCAGTGTTTGTTGTGCCTGCCTAAATGCAGCAAATCCCTTTTTTAAACGCATTAAGATGTCATCAATACAGCCAAAAGAAAATGAATTATAGAGAACTTGTTCTTCTATTGCATTGTGTAATTGAGTACACGACTAATACACCTAATCATAACGGGGTCAGAAGAACTGCTTTTTTAAAATGTTCCCTACATTTACGTTTAATTACACTCTTTGGAAATGCAGAATGGATAGAAACAAACATCGAGAAGATGAAATCCAACTGATTTATTATCATAGTCATGAATGAACTGACTAACTTTAATTAAATTTAAAGTAAGAATGCACAGGATAAGGGAAATGTAATTGTAATTCTGATCAAAAACCATTTCTTTTGAAGTGTTTGGGTTTTAAAAATTTGTTTTTAGACTACATACAATTGTCCTTGTCTAAATGTTAATTTTCTCAAATAAATGTAGGCTAATTTAATTTAGAACCAGCTTCACAATCTGGGCTTTAAAAATGTTACATGCCCCTAGATGGCAACAGACCACAATCAGTCACATCCCAGTATTAAATAACAGCTGCAGTAGCTTCAACATGATAGTTTTATGTTGTGAGGTAAATCTCATCTCTATTAGGGAGCATCGCAAATGCTGTATTCTTGACACACGTGAAGACGAAAGAAACGAACACAAGTCACCACACTCAATAGAACACCTGAGCTCGCACATTTGATTTCCGTTACCTTTGTAGTAAAATATTGCTGTCAGTTCGGAAAAGCTAACTGGGTCCGCTAAAATGTGCACGTCTTTCACTGTCATTAGCCAAGAAACAACACCCTGAACGTTACTCTGTCTAATCTAAGGCGAGCAAACAACTTTATACTGTAAGTGCATTTCAGATTCAGAGGCATGTGGACGCAACTAAATTTCAGGCACACTGTTATAAACTAAAGACGTGACATCAAATGACAAATTCATATCGGATTCCTGATGGCTGACAAAATGCATTGATATTGGAATTCAGATAACATTATGAAAGCAGCAATGGAAACATCAAACCATACAGACCTCAGACTTTGAACACTTTCAAAGTGAAATCAGAACGTTTTCATTTAATATGACAAAAAAAAGTCCTTTCCTTTCAATTTAAAGATGCTGTTTAATGTTAAAAAGAAGAAAAATGTCTCTATTTTTTTTGGCAGTAGCTCTCAACATGTTCCTGAGTGAAAGGCATTACAGTGGATCACTATCACACTGAATAGCAGTTTACATTGCGCAAGTTTATGAAAGTTTTTTATTTTCTCATGTTCTCAATGATTGTGAGTGACACAATTATTATTTGGCAGTAGACATCTTGCTCCTTAAACGATTCTGTCCAACAGCATTTCATGCCAATGACAGTTTGTGATAAAATGGGATTCAGTAGATGAATAAAACAACATTGTACATTCTTCATATGCAGACTGAATGACATGCACTCAAAATCACACCTCACGAGTAGATTCATGAGTAGATTCCTTTCTGAATGGATTTGAAAGAAATCTGTGGAATTCTGGGGGTGGACTTCAATATTAAGGAAATCTGGGGTTTGGGTCCACAGATTCCATGTGGGCCTCCTCATGAACCATTGGTTATTAGAAAGAAGAAATACCTAAAAAAAAAAAAAAAGAAAAAAAAAAAAAGAAGAAAGTGCAATCAAGCTTTCTCTCAGAACAGAGCCGTAGCAATAATTAGCCGCTTTCCCATTTCAACAGGAAAGTCTGAATCAAGTCTTGACGTTCATATTAGTAGAAACAGTGGTGCTGCATGGCTTGAGCAGAGAGTGGCTGGATAAAGGCACGATGTGAGAGTCTTCTTCTCTTTGCCTGGCATCTGGCCCTCATTCTTGCAGTTTGAAGTGGAAGCTATTTGTGCTCCACTGAGTAATGTCACAGTTCAGCATGGTGCGCTCCGTAAAGCTCACGTTTCCTTCTCGGTCGATGAGGATGACTGTATTGGTCCTGGGATAGACAAACACAAATATGACACTGGTTAAACTTCACAACTGGAGGTAAACTAGAAAGTGCAGAGAGAGAATGAAGTAAAAGCATGATGGGACCTTGTGCCGTATCCTGGTGAGCGCACACACACTGCAGACAGGGCTTGGAGTATGGCCTTACTGAAGCCTACACCTTGACTCTCCTGTTCGAGGTCTGGGGTGTTTCTGAAAAGAGTAGAAGTGAGATTCTTATGACTCTAGTGTGACAAATCAAGCTGGCGATTCGATTAAGATCTGAGCAGTTTTAGAATGCACAGAAATGCTACAGGTATTCACATCGTTTATAAAAAAAATATTGAAAAAAATATGACAAATATGACATAATAAAATAATAAATAATAATAAAAATAAAGTACAGTAGCACACAAAATACAGTACATACTACCATTACCATAAGTCTCTTATGCTCATCAAGGATGCATTTATTTGATAAAACAAAGTAATATTGTGAAAAATTACAATATTAAAACTGCTTATTACTGCTAATTACTAACAGTTGTGCTAATGGATATTTCTGTGGATTCTTTGATGAATAGAAAGCTCAAAAGAACAGCTTTTATTTGGAACAGAGATATTTTGTAACATTACAAATGCTTTATTGTCACTTGATGAATTAAATGAATCCTTGCTGAATAAAAGTATTATTTTCTAACTTACTTTTGAATGGTAGTGTATATACACTTAGTATATATACTAACTTAATCGGTTAGTTTCTAATACTAACCAATTAGTTGCAATGCAAAGCTTAGAAAATATAAGATATAAGAACTGACACAACTGCACGACTATTTACTTAAATATCATAACTGGTTTTAAATCAATTACTCTCACTGATGAATACATAATTAAATTATGAATGCAAATAGGTCCATAATGTCTAATTAGATGGCTCTCACTTCCATAACTTCAAACACATACACAGTTATAATGCAGAAAATGTATTTATTAAGAAGAAAACATATAACACTGCTGTCTCTAAAAATGTAAAGTGATAATATAAAAAAGAAATCTGTAATAAAATAAGTGAAAAACAACGAAGCTTAACATGGAAGTAAGTTAATGGAAGGGACCCCATGAAAGGGACAAGACCACAGGAACCAGATGAGTCCTCTGCACAATGTGACTTTGCTGCAGCCTGAAATTGAACTGCTGGTTTTGTCTGGTCAGAGGAGAACTGGCCCCCCGACTGAGCCTGGTTTCTCCCAAGGTTTTTTCTCCATTCTGTCACCGATGGAGTTTTGGTTCCTTGCCGCTGTCGCCTCTGGCTTGCTTAGTTGGGGACACTTCATTTCCAGCGATACCGTTGACTTGATTGCAAATTATTGCAAAGATACTATTTAAACTGAACTGAGCTGGATGATGACATCACTGAATTCAATGATGAACTGTCTTTAACTGAAAAATTAGTGTTTACTATTGTCATTTTGCATTATTGACACACTATTTTCCTAATTAATGCTGTTCAGTTGCTTTGACACAATCTGTATTGTTAAAAGCGCTATATAAATAAAGGTGACTTGACTTGACTTAATTTGGACTCATCCAGTGTACGACTCTGAAGAGCTGCTTTTTAATATCTAAATTCATTATGATATGCTGCCCGCATTCACCTTATAAAACCTGTAGAAATGAGACTTCAAAAATCATGCTGCTTGTGCTTCAGAGTAACTTTCTAAAAATCCATTTGCTTTGTGTCTCAAGTGCTTCTTGAGGATCAAAACGGATGGATGCTGGTTTGATGAAGAAAGGTAGCTGGACGATAAAGAGAAACAGAAAAAAACGAGAGAATAAGAGAAAACTAATTTTCCTAATAAAGGAGAGTGCACACTTACAGCTCCTCATTATTGAGGATATGGAGCAGTTCCTGCACTAAGCCATCAGGGGGCAGTGTTTTGTTCAATACACTGGTGAACAGCCGTTTGCCGTGCTGCAGTTTTCTCCACGGAGTTTCCAGAAGAGAGTTACTCAACCCATAGATTCCTGCTGAAACAAACAATCATCCATCACTTCCTGTGAGCTCTGAGTGAGACACACCCACCAATCTGGTGCTGAACGAGCGAAAGTGGTCTGTATTGCAGACGGTAGGTGTAACACTGCAAACAGCAGTGCTTTATGCAAGACCACTGGTGTCTGAACACAGAGCGCTAACTGAGGGACTGAACAAACCTGCTTTGAGATGAATGGGCTCTGAACTGCCCTTGTTTCCATAGTAACACAATGTGTCTTCATTGGCCCTGCATCCAACAACACAGCGAGAAAAAAAAATGAGTTAGTGCTCACTGCTGAAACACAATTAAACACATATTTACAGCTATTTTTGCATCATTTGTCACTGTAAACACAGAAACAATTTCCATAGTTATGTAATGCATACATAAAGAACTGTAGAGGAAGTCAACGCAAATCAACACATCCTAATTAATAAAGTAGCAAAACTCAAAAAACAAAACAAGTCTATTATTTTACATATATACTTTATACTGTATACACATTTTTCACATGCTTTGTTATAGACAGATAGACAGAACGATAGACTGATAGACAGAC